TAATTACTTGGAAAAGTTTACTTGACATTAATTACTGAATTTATATAACTATAAGAAACTTCTTAAAAGTCTGAATTCTTTGATGATCATCAGTTACATTCGATCCTACATTAAAGTTATTTTTAACCTTAAAAGTAACAATATATTTATTCTGGAATTGTTACTTAAAAATGTCTGCAAAAAAATTAATGCTTTGATTTATTTTCTTAACGTGGTGGTCTACGAAAAGGAAAAATTACGACGCTTTTGAGGATTACAAAAATGTTTAGCTCTACAGAGCTACAAAGTGTAGAGAACTGGTTTATGTTTCATTTGACAGATGAAGATGTATACTACAAAATGCGAAAAGAATTTTGGAATTTTGAATTACGATTCAGCTACAATTGAGTGACAAATTTACGCAAAATCGCGGGAATTGGGAACGCGTTAATTACGATTGTTCTACATATACTTTTTTTACATTTTGTTCAAACAGTATTGTAATTTTTAATAATACAGAGGCAGTTAAAAAAACACTGGAAATAGAACTGGCCTATATTATAATAACAAAAAAATACTATTAAGTAATTTACATTTTTAGTCAGTTTATTCTAAAAACGAAAGTACTATCAAAAATTTTAAAGAAAGTTATTAGAAATAGAAGCAAATTATAAATAGCATCAAAGAATAATATTTATGACAGATCTTGAACAATATCGTAGAGTTTACATTACAGAGTCATTGGATTTTTGAAGAAGGAAACACGAAAAATGAGCAATGCCGTCCCCGGTACTCGAACCTGCTCCTCTCAAATACGCGCCGATACAAAAAGGAGGGAAAAATAGCTTATATATTCCCCCTTTTAAAGGGCGACTAGGATTAGGGAACCCAATCGCTAAATCTTGTTGGTGAAGAATCATCATCCACCACCTTTTAGTTCGGGCGCCACTGTAGAGTCTATAGTTTGTTTTGAAGCAGGAAGATGTGAAAAATGTGCAACGCCCTCGCCGTGATTCGAACCTGGAGCTCTCGAATACGCGCCGAGTGTGCTACCATTACACCACGAAGGCACGCAGAAAAGAGGGAGAGTGGTGTCTTATAACACTCGCATAAAAAGTAGGTTGAAACTTTGTTTTTACTGTAGAATATTCGTATAATCCTGATAAAGTAAATTTAATTACGTATTGTTGTCAACAAAAACAACTTCCAGCATGTGTTACCAGTGATATTATTCCTCGCATTTTACCTTTTCCATTTCATATTTTCAGTAGACAGTTTTGTTTCATGTGGACAGTTTGTGAGACTAAATTTAAATCGTTCTGCAATAAAGTAAATTCAGAAGCTTTACTTTTAGACACTGGTCGGTTAATCCGCAACCGGATTAATCAGGAATTGACGTTATATTGAATCTTTTACAGTTATTATAATAAACGTTTATTTAGTTCTCTTCATGGTGCTTGTCGGTATGATTAAAGGTTTTTCATCGGTTTTGAGTACACACGCTGTTTGAGAATAAAAATACAATTCGGTAAAGCAATTTTTTTTTCCAAATTTCGATTAAATATTTTTTAATTTAATACTTTAATAATTTCTGACTGTATCTTAGTTTAATGAACAAATTAAAATTATCAGAATTTTATTGTTTGCAACATTCGACAGAGCGAATAAATCCTTTTACGTGAAACACTTATGAAATTTTTAATTTAATTTCTGAATTTTTGGCGAATTTTCGAAAATTACTCGAGTTTAGGAATATTTGAAGTTTACTTTTTTTAAATTTCAATATCTAAAAATGCATTGAATACAAAGTTTTGAAACTTTTCTTCGTTATGAAACACACAGTTCACTCTGTTTTAAAACAACAACGGTAAAAAATATTGTTAATCGTTTTTTTAGAGTTTTTTAAACCTATTAAACCTAGACACTTTTTATAAGCTATTTTTTAACTCTTTAATAACGTCTACGGTCAAGACTTTGGCACCGATTTTTAGCCCAAAGGAGCGTTAGACCCGAAGGTTTATTAGTCTCAAAATGGCATTTTGCGTCGTTTCACTTTCTGAGTTGATTCACTTTTCAAACTGTTGCCACCAAGTATTATCGCCATGTATTATATTTAAGGAAACTAAATAATGAGGAATTTGCATGGATGCATGAACGCTTCTCGCACTGTGAAAAAACATCGGTACCTAGAGCTACCAAATTTTGAATAACGTAATGCTCCAACCGAACATGAGAAATTGGAATTTCGAATTTGTTTTAGTAACTATTTCAAATTTAGTAAAACTTTAACAAATTTTTTATTAACAGGCTCAACGATTTCAGAGCGAGCAATGGCAACACTGTACGAAAAAAAAAATTATCTCCAGCGAGCGAGACTGTGTGTTGGAAATTATCAAGATATGCTGTTTTTAAATATTTTTAACCCAAAGAGCGTTAGTCGAGAAGGGCATTTAATTTGGTTTGGGCATTTTGCGTTGAAAACTTTAAATGTACTTTTCACTTTTCAAATTGTTACCGTTAAATATTACCGCTCTGTGTTGTATTTAAAGAAATTAAGTAATGAAGGATCTGCATAAATGTATGTATGTTTCTCGAATTACGATAAAACAACGGTACCTAGAGCCATCAAATTTTGAGTAACGTAATCCTCCACTGGAATGTCCCATATGGGCATCTGGAAGCCCTAATTTGGAATTTGTTTTATTATCGATATCATATTTTGTAACACTTTAACGAATTTTTGATTAACAAACGCAACGATTTCATAGCGAGCAATGGCAACACTGTACGAAAAAAACCATTTTTATCGCCAACGCGTAAGACTGTGTATCGAGTATTATAAAGGTATACTCACTTTAAAATTATTTTGCGATATTGCTGCTGAATTGAATTTTATAATTTAAGTGTGAAGAGCATGATGTTTAATAAATAAGGGTAGCACACAAAACGTTACAAGACGCCCTTTTGAACGTAATAATAGAATCTGAAAGCTGTCAGATTTTATTTTTTTAGTCCAAAGGGGTAACTTGCTCAGAAGAGTTATTAATTTTGTTTTGGCATTTTGCGTTGATTTACTATAAATATCGGTTCACTTTTCAAATTGTTGTCACCAAATACTTGAGTCCTGTATTATATTTAAAGATATTAAATAATGAAGAAACTGCATAAATGTATGTATGTTTCTAGCATTGTGATAAAAGAACGGTACCTAGAGCCATCCAGTTTTGAATAACATATGTTTCCACCTGAATAGGGGCATGTGGAAGCCCAAATTTGGAATTTTTTATTATCAATTCATATTTTGTAAAACTTTAATGAATTTTTGATTAACAAATTCAACGATTTAAAAGCGAGCAATGGCAACACTGTACGAAAAAAAAAAAAAAATTTATCTCCAGCGCGCGAGCCTGTGTATCGGAAATTCTGAAGATACGCTCATTTTAAAATTATTATGCGATATTGCTGTTGAATTGAATTTTATATTTTAAGTGCGAAGAAAGTGATATTTAATAAATAAAGGTATCGCACAAAATGTTAAAAAAAGTCCCTTTGGGCGTAATGTGAAATATATTTTTATTGTCATTTATATTTAAATGAAAATCTGTATTAACCGATTCAGAAAGATTAACAAATCTATGAAAAAGTTACAAAAATGAATCTTGCATTTCATCTGATGATTGTAGCGAATAAAGAATCTTAATTGCTCTCAGAAATTCCGAAAAGCGATCAGTCGCAGGTAAATGAGAGTATTTCCTCCGCCACGTGTACTCGGCCAGGTACGAATGAAATTCATCTTTTACCTGCTGAGCACCCTTCAAACCTTTTTTTTTTTCCACATTACTTCCTGATAAGGTACTTTGCTGAAATTTCGCTCACACACTCATTGTGGATGAGAATACAATGTGCTACAGCGATATGTTTTTCAAATTTCAGTTTTTATATAGTGATATATATATATTAAAGGGATTTTCTCTTGTATCTTTGCTTAACGAATAAACTAAAACTTGCAGAATTTCACTGTTTGCACCATGGGATAGAGCGGAAAAACATTATTTTTAATGAAGTCTATATAAAACATTAACGGAAAATTTAATGCACAAATACAGAAATTACGTAAAATTTAACGTAATTTGTGATTTCTGTGAATTTTTGGTTGCTTTGCAAATCGCTTGCTTTTATTCGACGGTTTTACTCAAAAGAATTATTAGAAGTAAAAAAGTGATTTTTCATTGTTAAAAAAGGATATTTGAACTGAACAATTTGACAGGGAACGTGTCATTCAGATGAAAATAAAATAGGGTTAGAAAAGTGGTTTTATAAAATAAGTTTTTATCTAAATTTCATAAAAAATTAATAAACTAGATGATGAAACTCAATTTATATGGTTTCATGAAAAAGAGATTAAATAATTCTCTTCGTAAAGTTCATCGATCATTTTTCATCGTGAATAATAATAAAAGCGTGGGCTCCCAAGTAACGAAATCGATTAATCGAATTGCATTCTCAAAACCATAAGCCATTATATTTATAAATTTATAGAGGCCGCCCAAAGCTTTTACTATTTGTAATATAGAATTAGAGATAAATTTTGTAAAGAGAATTATTCAATCTCTGATTATCATTAATTTTACGATGAATTATTTATTCCCTTTTAGTTCATTAATTACTTTATGAATTTTAAATAAAAGCCTATTTTTAAAAGCTTTTTTTCTTTCAATCTTATTTTATTTAAACCCATTTTGCGTTAAACAAATGAAATATGGAAAAGAATGCTCGCGATTTTAATATCGAAATTCTTGATGAGTTGAGTTTTATTAAAATCCCTGCCCAGTTTTAAACCTTGTTAGACCTATATCCGCGTATAAACAGGATTGTGTGCATGTTGCAATATTGCGGGAGGAACTCGCATCTGCGAATGGGAAATTTTTTTCGGGCCACATTTGCGGTGACCGGCTCATTTGGGTTTACTGCGCATGCGTAGATATTTTTTTGAGCCCGCGAATCTGTGGAGGGAGCAAAATGGAGCTGTGGTTTGGGAAGACCTCAGTCGAAGATCTCTAAGCTCGCCTGTCCGTTTGGCCTCTCTGTTATTAGTATTTGTTTGGCATCCTCACGAAATACCAGGAAGTACGTTGCTTTGTGTTACGTTGGCAAACTTTGAAAGAAGTGAATGCATTTGTTCATTTTGAAAAATCAAAACTGAAGGATTTCGTAACTTTGGTGGACTTCAAGGAATCTCACGAACATCAAGTATGTAATAGCTATGAATATTTATATTTCGATAAATTGAATTTTTTATTCCAGGCTAAATATATAACTCATCGAAAATAAATTTAATGATAGGATAGGATGTTATAGAATGTATTTAGTTTATTCTAATTTATTATGTTTGCATTATTTTTTTAATTGGGATGGAAGTTACATAATCTGTTCTGTATTTTAAGACGCTATTAAGTTGGGATAATTTTATACAATGTATTTTTGCTACAGAATTACAAAAATTTATATTTTGTTGGTAAATTATTGAGCTTTTATTCTTAACTTAAAATAATGAACAAGTAATGCAGGACTATTCCGGCCATATTAAGAAAATGATTTCAAAGCGAGCAGTGGCAACACACTGTACGGAATAAGCATTTTTATCGCCAGCGCGCAAGACTGTCTGTCGGAAATTCTAAGGATATGCTGTTTTTAAATATTTTTAGACCAAATATTCTTGAAACGTGTATGTATGTGTAAACAAAACAAAACAAAACAAAAACCGCTGCTTTGGGCGTAATATAAAATCTGAAAACTTTCATATTTTCAGATTTTTTTAATTCACGCTTCAATTGTATTTATTCAAATATGTATGGAGTAAGTAGTAAAAAATAACTTTAGATTAGAACTGGATTACTTTACAATCTAATTTTTGCGAGCTGTTCCAAAAATCCTTTGTAGAGTTTAAATTCTCGATGTTCAGTAATTAATTCAAAGCAAGACGCGATCAAAATCATGATTTATATTTTGAGATGGCGTAGAAATGTTTTTAGTGTTATTAAATTAAATCATGTTTCGAATTTTCATTCAAACCGATAAATTATGGATATAATTATCTCCATTACAATAAGATATAGTACATATAATTACCTTTACACTAAACAAAAATCAATTTCATTTCAAAAAGATCAATCAATCAAGAACTTTTGTTTTCGGTTTCTTTTTAAGAACATTTGTTGAGAATTTCGTTAAAAAATTCACTTCTTTTAAGAAGTTTTGTTGAGAATTTCATACCGACATGTTACATTACATTCCACCATTTTATCTATGTCTACCGGTTTTCTCTTTGCAGACTTATCATACAAGCGAATCAGATAATTGCTAATTTACGCAGTATAACACATTTCATATAGCTCTGACGTGGCTTGGCAAATTTCCAACTTACGAGGTATGAAATATTGCATTTATCATTAAAATCGTACGTTAACTGTCACTTCACACGAGATTTAACAATTATCTACAAATTTTAATTTCATAGTAACAATGCAACCAAAAAAGAAATGTAAACACAACTAGCTTCTTGCACGGACCAGCCACTTAGAACAGTTATTAAAAGAAAGAAAAAATATGTAAATATTTTAGTGATAGTGCTTTTTCACAGTGTCACTATCATCCAGATAGTGCTTTTTCACAGGGTCAATAACAGACAGATAGTATTTGAAAGAAAACTTAAATATAGCAACACACTCGCGGGTTGAATGTTAAAAATATTGTATTACGAGCAGTGGCAACACATTTCTTTTAAATCACTGAGTTTCTTGATTAAATTTGAAACAAAAGTATCTTATGCTTTGCCGAGTGGCAACACAATGCTTTTAAATCATAAGCTGAGTTTTTGAATTACATTTGAAACAAAAATATTGCACATTTTACCGAGTGGCAAAACACTTTTTTTAAATCATCGAGTTTGTTTGTTATTTATGGAAATGTCATTAAATTCTTACAAAATACGAAATAATAAAAACAAAATCGAAATTAAAATTTCTGATTTCGAGGTGCACATGTTCTAGCGGAGGACTACATGTGTTCAAATTTTGGTATCTCTAGGTGTTGCTGTTTTTGCACAGTGCAAGAAGCATACATACCTACATGCAGATCCTTTATTATTTAATAACAGAAATAAGTCTCAATTTATAATTAATATTTTGATAATTTTGGGGGATCGCCAAGCTCACTAAAAGACATTTCTAACACAGCGTACCTGTGCTGTATAATTTAGCTTAACTTCCAGAAACCCTTGAAGTAATTTAATTAGTTCGATTAGCCATTTTTATGTCATTTCTTTCATGATAGGTCTTTACTATTAAGGCAAAGTAAATTTAAAATATAAATTTTCCTAAATTAAGATTATAAGTATTTTAGGAATAACTGCATAATTATGGAATAATTATAAATGTATTCTAATTATAATAATAATGAATAATTATAAATTCTTATTATATGCGATTATGTAGCTATAATCGTAGTTTTTGATTATAATTCAAGAATATGATTTGAATTTGATTATAATTGAAGAATATCTTTCATCTTCTCTTGGAACGCATTAACGTTTTTTTAATTCGAAATTAAATCCAAATTAAGGCCGAGATTTATCTGTTGCTAGTTAAACATGGCTTCAAAATCAAAATACCATTCAACAGCAAAATCTCAAAAATTTTAAAAGCAACATATTTTTAGATTTCCCGATGCGGTGTTAAGTATTGGCATACATTTTTATACGTTTTAGTCTAAAGGGGCCATTTGCACAAAAGGGCTATTAATTTCATTTTCGCAATTTGCGTTGATTCACTATAGACGTTGTTTCACTTTTCAAATCGTTGCCACCAAATATTAGCGCCCTGCGTTATATTTAAAGAAATTAAATAATGAAGAATTTGCGTAAATGTATGCATTGTGATTAAACAACGGTTCCTAGAGCCATCCAATTTTAAATAACTTAATCTTGCACCGAATATGGGCATATAGAAGCCCTAATTTGGAATTTGTTTTTGTGCAAAACTTTAGCGAATTTTTGATTAACAAACTCAAGGATTTCAAAGCTAGCAATGGCAACGTTGTACAGAAAAAACATTTTTATATCCAGCGCGCGAGACTGTGTATCGGAATATTAAAGATATGCTCATTTAAAAATTATTTTGCGATATTGTTCTTGAACTGAATTTTATGGTTTAAGTGCGAAGAACATGATATTTAATAAATAAAGGCAACCCACAAAACGTTAACAAAATGCCCCTTTGGGAGTAATGTAAAATCTGAAAGCTTTCAGATTTTCTTTTTTTTTCATTCTTTTCTCAGTTCATCAATATCAATGTTCAGTTTTTTCAGTAAGTTGGTTTACTTCACTTAAAGTTTTGTCTTTTTATTACAAACATTTCATGTTTAACTAATTTATTTATTATCACGTTCTTCTCACTTACGCCACAAAAAATTCAATTCAGCGGCAAAAACACAAAATATTTAGAAACAGCATACCTTAATTTTTGATAGACGGTCTCGCTCGCTGGAAATAAAAAATATTTTATTCCGAACCAGTGTTGCCACTGCTTGGTTTCAAATCTTTGAGTTTGTTAATCAAAAATTCCTTAAAGTTTTGCAAAATATGAAATATATGATAAAATAAATTCGAAATTCAAAATTCGCTCTCCGAGGTTCACATGGCCAAGAGAGGACTACTTTATTCAAAATTTGATGGCTCTAGGTACCGTCGTTTTTTACAATGCCAGAAACATATATGCATTCATGCAGATTCTTCGTTATTTGATTTCTTTAAAAATAATACAGGGCGATTATATTTGGTGGCAACAATTTCAAATGTGATTCGCCGTTCATAGTGAGTCGACGCAAAGTGCCATTTTGAGACTAAAAGCCCCTTTTGGGCTAAAGGTAAAAAAATTACGTTTGCTCATGATTTCATGTGTGTGTGTGTGAGATTATGGCAAAGCCTCGAGGGCTATCTGCCTAAGATGAGGGATGCCTTCGTGGAGGACTTTCTAAGGGAAACTGGCTCGTATACACGTTACACATGGGGAAAACCACTAAAACGCCCATGCAGCCAGCCCGTTCGTGGGATTCGAACCTCGGACCGAACTACCAGTGTTCAGCGATTTTACCGCTCGGCCGCTGGTGCGCCTGCTCATGATTTCAACTTGAAACTACAGAAAAGTTTCAAAATAGAAAATGTTATTTGCCAGATGGAATGACAATAGAACATTCTAAGTTAAAATGGTTACTTCCTCTCGTCTTTCAAGAAATTACTTAAAGAATGGGCAAATTTTCTAAATCTATATCTTCTAACTGAATCTAACAATGTGAGAACAAATACGAAGATCAAGACCGGATTCCTTCGCTACGGAACGGCTCAACGAACGCGCATTCGACCGAAGACGGATTAGATTTGTACAACAAGAACGACATGGCGTAAATTGTTTGCCGCGAGGATTGGAATAAATCGTGTAAAACAAATCCTGTACTGATACTACAAGATTCATTTTCTGAAAATATTCAATTCCGTTTCTAATAAATTCATTTGATAGATAGCCTATTTTGTTTGTTAAAAGAATCTATTTCTTGTGTCAGTATGCAGTGCTGCTGAGGTACGCAGCTATTATTCAAATGTTTTGTAAGCTGTGTTGATTTTTTTAACAACAAAAATCAATATTCTTTTTTTAGTTTTTAAGTGTTTAGTGAGACATTTAAAGAGGGAACCACACGCTGGGAATCAGAATGTCCCATTTCAGCTTTTCCCACTTCAGGCTTTCTGGAAGTGGCGACAAAAGGCATACCGCTGCAATCTTTTTTCTTTCCTTCTACTAGTGTTCATGACAAGAGTATTAAGAATAGTATAATTTCAGTCTTTCTTTAACATCACGAGACAGACTTTTTTTTAACCAACTATTACCGCCATTTCTCATCTACACTGAAATGCGCATTTTTTAAAAAAATTAGTCAGCAAAATAATGAAACTACGGAGAGTGTTTACTAATTTTTAAAAGGATTTCGAAGCCGTTTAATTATTACTTAAAATGTTAGAAGCATTTTTTAAATGTTCAGTTTGATAGTTTTTTTTTTTTTTTTTTTTATTATTATTTTTTTTATTTGTGACCTATAAGTCTGCATCCTGATTTCCATGTTAGAGCGGCTTTTTGTTAAATTTCCAGGCGCATTGCTTTCCATTACTTCTTATTCATTTAAGTCACTCTGGCATTATTTAT